AAAAAATAAAATCTTTTTTTTTAGTCCTAATTGTCTCTAATTGTGAAGAAGTAGCTAAAGGGTGGAATTAAAAACTAGAAAGAGGACTTACCCGAAAGCAAATCTTCAAATCCTAGCTCTCCAATCCGCGATCTTCAAGCTCCAAGCGTTTCCTTCACAAAAAACACACAAGTTAAAGAACCAAAATAATTAAAACCTACTTAAGCACCTTCCCCGGCAACGGCGCCAAAAACTTGATGCGGCATAAACATGTACCAAAAAGGTTGCAAGTGCACAACCGTGTCAAGTTATAGTATTTAAGATATCGATCCCACGAGGAAGGTGTTTTGTAGGAGAAAATATAAAATTGGTTCTTATTTTGTGTGCGTGACAAATAGGAATGATAAGTGAATGTGATTGTGAAGAGATTGAGAGAGTGAAAGTGGTGTGTAAATAGGTGCAAAGTGTAAGTGAGAGTGGATTTGAGTATGATCAATAAGGTGAGAAGGAAAAATGAATAAAATCAAGAAACAAATAAAAAATTCAAGAATGAAGAACAAAATTCTAGAATAAAAGAAAATGCAAGAAATTAAAGATGGTGGATTCAATTATAGATATGGGTAATCTACAATTGAACCCACTTCTTAGAAAAGGGTGATTCCCTAGAGGGTTCTAGCCTAAAGGCGAATCAAACAAAATAAAAATAAACAAAAAGAAAAACTAAACCCAAGAGGGTTCTAGCCTCAAGGTGAATAGTATAAGAAATTAAAATCTAACTACAAAATAAATTGCAAAATCTAATTACAAAATAAAATTACAAGAATTAAATGCAAGAAAATAAATCTACTCTATAAGCATGAAATAAATCTAAGGCAAGAGGGTTCTAGCCTCTTGGCTATTTAACAAGAAAAATAAAATCTAATTACAAGCATGAAAATAAATCTAACTAATAAGCAATAAAAGAGAAATAAAAGAGAAAAAGGAAAGAAATGCAAACCTTCAAATAATTCTCCATCTTCATCTTCATCTTCATCATCCAACAAAGAGAAGAAGAGAAAAATTTAAAGTGGTGAAAAAATTATTATTATTAATTGCAACTAAAGTTACAATTTTTTTGGAAGGCCTTCTCAATTAAGAGTAGCCCTCCTCTCCAAAAGGAGTTTACAAAATTTTCACACCTCTAACCCCTCACTCTCTACCCCTATTTATAGTAAACATCAGTGAATGTGAGCCATTGGATCGAAATCTTATCCAAAACAATCCATTTTCAGCCATTGATGCATAACAGAATGTCAGACATCGATGCAGGTATCGATGCTGGCATCGATGCCCGCATCGATGCCTGTATCAATACTCCAATAGTAACTTTGACTTCACGGTTGGCTTCGTCTCGTCGAGATAGGCGATTTTCATATATTATATGTTAAATTCCGCCTTCCGGATTGGGAGATATCGTCATTTCTTTGCGGCCAACCATCTTGAATATAATTTCTCTTCATATTGGATTTTTGATTTTCTCCGGCTTCTATAAAGGTTACAAAATGAGGAAGTTGAAGTCTTTTAGGCTTTTATTCATTATTTCTTCATTAACCTGCAATAAAAACAATTATTAGTGATATATTTATTCATATAAAATAGATAATGAGGGTATAAAATTGTAATAAAATGTGATTATCAGAATTGTAACGGTCATATTGATTGTATGTCACTCTTGAGCTTGCCTTGTAGGCCTACAAATAGCGCCCATTAGGCAGCTTTTGAGGTGTGCTTGGACATATGAATTTGAGAGCTCTTAGAGACATAGTGTTGTTGTGCTGCTGCTGGTGCAGAGCTTGTGCTGAAGGAACTGCTGTTGCAGAACCTGTGCTTGAAGGTCTTTTGCCTGAAACCGAAAGGTTTTGAACCGAAAGGTTTTGAACCGAAAGGTTTTGAGATCAAGAAGATCTTTTGTCTTGACCGAAAGGTCTTTTACATCCAGGAGATCTTGACAATACTAGGTTGGTGCACACCAGAGTATTGTACTGCTGTTTCTGGAAGTAGTTTGTTCTTAGGATTCTTACACCGGAGTAGCCCAAATATTGTTTTAAGCACAGCGTTTCATAAACGCATAGCAGTTAAATTGTAAAAAGTTTAAAAGTACAGCACATTAATTTTTTCTGTTTTATTCTAGATTGTAACACAATTTCCAATAAAGAGATGTCAAATTTCTTAATAAGAAGATATGTGAGCACTACTAAATGCATGAAGCAACACCAGTGTCAAAGAGTAGTAAGAACTATACTGTTGCAGGGAGGTGAACGCCGCCTGTGATCGTAACGACGACGACTAGTTAAGTGCAATTTGGCTCGTCTTCCCCTACTTGCAAGCTGGTTTTATAAGTTTATTGCTTTCAGGTTAAAGCTAGAATTTCACATACATAAATGCACCTGTGAGTTCTCATATGAATACAATTTCTTTCGCTAATAAAGAGATCCCGTCCGATAATGCCACAACTACTCAATGCAAAGCATGAGGAGCATGCAAAAATCATGTATCTGTCACAAAAGCGCAAGCAAAGGTTGTGCTAGATAATGGTAACCAGTAAGAATAGTACCTCTGAAAAAGACTTGGCGTGACCCGATGAGGAGGCGGCCAAATTAGCTGAGCAGAACCACAAGGTAAAAAGTAATGCTCGATGCTTAATTACATCCTTCAAGATGCAAATCCCCACCTCTTCCCTTCATTCTAAAATTTCGTTCCATCAGCATCACTAAATCTTCAGTAAATTAAATAGATACAACCGGTCTACCACCAGGAAAATCTCGACCAAAGATGGACATGGACCCATTGTTTCCTATAAACAAAGCAGAATCGCCCGAACTCCTCGACTGAATCCATCTTTGTGATCTTCATCCCACTCATCACTCTGAAAGTCTAGAACTGACTTCCCTATTTATCGCTGCCCTGCAGTCTCCGCACTTACAGCTAATTGCCCGAAGATGGTACTACCAGATATCCATAAAAATCTTGCGTTTCTATTTCGGGTCAAGATGCAAGAAGCATTGGCTTATGGTACTACCAGATATCCATAAAAATCTTGCGTTTCTATTTCGGGTCAAGATGCAAGAAGCATTGGCTTTTTACAATTGGTATCCCAAGCTTGAACAAGTCACTTATCATCAACGATAAAATAGATTCTTGTGACGTGCAAGATCATGAAATAGAGCACATCTAGTTGAGGAGGAGAAATTGTTCAATATGGTCCATAATCTATCATTGATTCGGTAGCTAAGAGATGGGCTTGCAGGCTTTATTTATTTTGTATTTAATTCATTTAAGACTCTTGGGCTTCTTTTAAATGCTCTTGGGCTTTTTACAATTTAGTTTGGCCTTCTAATAATTGAATATATATATCAATTAAATCCGGGCTTCTATCATAACCCGCTGTTGCTAATGAAATTTTTGGAATCTATCAATCTAGATAGGTCCGTCTCATTAAAATAGGTGATTTTTATATATAATACATTAAATTCCGCTTTCCACATTGGGAGATATCGCCTTTTCTTTGCGGTTGACCAACCTGAGCACGAATTTGACCATGTTTTTTCGAAATTTGATTTGGTATGAAATTGTACAGTATTAATTCAATATATATGTTTGAAAGTGAAGGGTTTGCTTGTTTGACTTGAAGAATTTCATCCTATAAAAATTAAATTCATATGTTACTACTATATAATGCATCATTATCAAACTTAAAGACATATTCTACTTACATTAAGGGTTTACTGTCGGTGTGGTGGAGCATCTTTCTTTTGCCTCTGTTAAGTGTATTTTATTGGCTTGCTCTCTATACATTAAGATTAAAAGAGAATTTTAATAATCAAGCAATATACATGGAACAAAACTATACATTAAGATTAAAAGAGAATTTTAATAATCAAGCAATATACATGGAACAAAATAAATAAAATTAGGAGATTAATACGAATTTTAATAATCAAGCAATATACATGGAACAAAATAAATAAAATTAGGAGATTAATACCTGAAATTTTAAAGAAAAATAATATTCCTTAACTAACTAATCTCAGTCATCAACACTCACTCGTGTAGGTTTATTTCTAAATGCAACTTGCAATGAATTTTCTTTCACATATTTCTTGTGCATGTCACCACATCACTTATTCCACAAATCACGCAAATGTCTCAATACCGAATCTCTCTTTTGCTCCATGTCCTTAGCATCAAATTTATCCTACATCAAATTTGAATCAGAATTTAATTTATAAGAATTGAAGACCAATTGCAAAAAATTAATTTTTAGAATACCTTAATGGATGCCCACATATGATCATTATTTTGTTATGGTATTTTGACCCAAATATTTCAGCCTCGTCAAAAACTAAACATAAAAGAAATGCTTAATTTTATTTTGAGACTCATATGTTCAGATATAAGGCCATTCAAAAACTATTGATTTATGCAATCATTGGTCAACGTGAAACTTATATAAAAACACCCTCACAATATTGTCATTGGTGTAATGCACTAGAAATGCGGAGGGCATCAGAAAGCAATAGAAAAAAATGAGACAAAAGGAACAAATTAGAACGCAAATCATAAGATCTTCCTTCAAAGTTTAAACTCCTAATAAATTACACCTCCATTCATTCATGGAAGGGCGGAACCACTAACAAGTGGAACTCATACCTAGAGGACAACTATTAACTAATTAAAATATTCAAAGACAAACTTCTATATTAGTCTTTTCTATCTCAATGTTCTTGGAAGTAAAAGTGAATGAACTTTTTCTATCCTAAAACCATATCAAACTTCAAACCCAGACCAGAAACCACATGATAATAAAAAAATCTCCCATGGGAAACTACAAAATCAGTTATTTCATCCAAACAACCAGAATCTGGAGAAAACAACAAGAATGCACATATAACCGACAGGTAACGATCATCTTGTTAGAAAGTAACATTGACAAATCAGATCCAACTAAGAGGCATGACTATGCTTCCTGAAGATAGTCACAATATCCACACGTGCAAAATATTATTGCAGAATTATCTTCAGAATTCAACTTAACTCAGACTCAATTTGCTATTCTTTAGTCTTGCACTGGTTTGCCAAAACTAAGCAGGTCTACCTTTCTTTAGCGCCCAAGAGAGACAGAGAAAACAATTTGAGTTAGATTGGTTCATAATGCCTACAAATGACCCTTCTTATATAAATAAAAATATTTTTAAAGAAACATTTTGTAAACTCTAGTGTTAATGCATGTGTGGCTAAATATGTAAAAAGTCAAACTAGAATCAATCAATAGACTAAAAAAACAACAAAATTAAAAATTGTGTTATTGTTTTAATGCATAGTCATAACAAAGTCATAATTTCTAAGCCAATTTCTCATACAAGACCAAGAGTTTCATAAAGATTGAAAATTCAATCATTTTTATTAGGGTTAGGTGGATGATACTTCCATATAAGTGTTATCATCGACACACTAGTTTCGCCAAGTAAAGATTACAAATCAAAATTCATGCATAAAAATGATTTGCCAATTCATATGCTTATGAATAAGTTGAGAAGTGAATTTTTGTACCCAGTAAAAGGAGGTATGGATCGGACCACGATAGTCAACATGGTAGAACAAAGATGTGACTATGAAAAATCCAAAAAATATGGCAAGCCCTAAGTTGCATGGAAACGGGCACGGGTACTGGTACAGGTGCGGGTGCGGGTACGGGACACGACAAAACTGTAAAATGTAAGGTACGGGGACACGACTACATATATATGTTGAGAAGTGTCCATGAAGTTTGGGTACGGGAAAGTGTCGGGTACGTGTCCAATACGGGTACGGCTTCATTATAGAAGTACCCGGGTAACATAGGGCAAGCCTAAGAAAAGAACCCATGACGACCAGTTCATAACCGATGTACACTATTCTGTCATAAAGAATGACATATATAGCCAATACTCTTGCCATCGAATAATTGGTGGAATCAATGAAGCAAACTAGATAGAAGGATTACATGCTTATAACTGAATAAATGAATATTATTGTTGGAGATCATGAGTGATGAATTGACATTAATCTCGCTCTTCACATTTTTAGCGATAAAAACATCTTTACGACTTTACCTACAACAAATTAATGGGGGTACTGGGAAGACACAAATATTGATATGGGAAACTGCTCCCAATGTCTAAAGTAATTGAAAATAGCTATGTGGAGATTCACATTACCTCTAAGAATTCTTCTCATGGAAGTTTCACATTTCCTAGATATCAGAAAGAACTTTATCTCAGGTGCCCTACGGAGTAGGCACAACTTTATAATGTATTTTTCTTAGCCAGATAAACTTATTTTGACTGCAAAATCTTACACTGTGGAAAAAAGATTGTTGTTTCTAGATAGTTTAAACTGAACTTGACAAAAGACAAGTATTACTAGTACGCAATAGAGCTTGTGTTTGGTATGGTAGCGTTGACATTGTTAACTTCAGCCTGATTAAATTACTTGCCAAATTGCGACTAATATCTTACTCTGGCAGCCTTCGCGAAGATAAAGTATGAATGTAATAAATGCAAAATTAAATGAATTTCCTTTAAAGATTTCGATATTGAAGTAATTATGCATTGCAGCTAATGCACGCTGCTATAAAGAATTGTTGGAATTTGTCCAGTAATCATCTGCCTTTGTTGATGATATATTGATCCTTGCCATAGATCTTTCAATGTTGGATATAACAAAAAATTCTTATCATCTGACCTTGCCATTGAAGATTTAAGTGAAGCTGAAGTTATTCTGAAAATTAAAGTCAGAAATCTGACAATGAACATAAAGAAATGAGCAAACTTTTTCTTTTACACGTCTAACATATGTGTCAGAACAACATAATAATGTATTATTCTAGATTTATTGGTTCTTTTCATTAGACCTTAGCTTGATTTTGCACACATTTAGAGTACTTATTTGTTTCTAGTTGTTTACAAAAGATTCTCCTAGAAACATTTATGTTCCGATGTAAAAGGGAGTCTTTATTCTGAATCAATCTTACTCAAATCCTCTTCTTTTTTTCTCATTTTTCTTGGGCATCTAGAAAATTAAATGCGCAAAATTTGTCAATGCAAGACCAAAGGGAAATGGGCTGAGTTAAATAGAAACCCAGAGGTAGTGTTCTCTCATGTCTGGAGGCTTCAGCTATCTTCAATAAACGTGATTGCACCTCTCCCCTAGACATGATTTTCCCTCTTAGCTGATCCTAAATTTTACAGGTCATTTGTTATGTTTCTAACAGATTTAGCAAGCTAAAATTCTACCATATTGTAGGACTTCTATCACCAGTCTTTTGCCATGATCTACACCCTTATTCAAAATGTTCATCTAGCTTTTTCATATGACATTTGTTGCATAAAGCGAAACAACCACTTCTCAGTTTTTCCAGGGAAGAATTTACATCCAAAAGAGAATTTTGGTCTTGGCAAATCTTTTCTCTATAACATATCTTGGAGTAACCATAGCAATGAACACTATTTTTCTACATGGACATTAGACAAACACAGCCCAAATATTAGCTTAAAAGTAACCATTCAAAATTGTGGCTAAATATAGTGATAAGATGCACTGAGAATGCTATCCCTACTGATTATGAGTCAACATCAGCTACACCTTCTTTCATTGCTAATTGGGTACAATACATGAATATTAATTCCATTCTCAGACATTCTAAAGTTGCACAAATCAGTGCGTCAGTAAAATAAGCAATTGAGCGCAGAAAAAATTATAGTTAGAAACTAGAAAAGATAAAGATCGCACCTTTAACGCTACTATTACCGAGCTTAGGCAGCCCATGAAATTGAAATATAGTCTTAATCACATCTAAGGGACACGCGAAAGTAGCCGCGAGCATACCTACCAACGACGATGAACTGGACGACGACGACGGCGGCGGCGGCGACGACCACGAACTGAAGAGATCTCGGTCGACGACGAGCTGGAGATGATGACAAGCGGGAACCGACGACGAGCTTGAACGACGACGAGTGGGAGCCGAGGACGAGCGGGAGACACACGAACGACGAGAAGGAGACGGCGATGGTGATTTTTTTAAAACTAAGGTTAATTAATATTGCAGCGGTTATAGGGATGATTAGGAGTAGTTATGGGGGATTTTGGATTTCGGGTTTCGGGTTCTACTTGGGGCTTTGGGGATTTTGGTTGTGGGTTTTGTTAATTAATTAATAGTAACTAGTATTTAGACCCGTGCAAAGCACGGTTTCTAGAAGTTTTTCTGTAAATATTGAACATGTTACGAAAATAAAGTATTCTGCTTTAGATATGAAGTATAGTGGTGGAAGTGAACCGAATAATTAATAAACTGTTTGGTTATTATTCGTCCAAATATTCGCAGAAGTTTATTTCGATAGTTCATTTAGTACTAAACAAATAATTTTTAGTGTTCGGCTTATAAATGAATAGAATCTAACCAAAGGTATGTTCGGTTAGGTAGTTTATTAACAATTCGATTCGACAACTTTTTAATAGAATTTAACTAAATGTATGTTTGATTCTAATAATGCATGTTATATATGTGTTTGCTTATTAATCATGAAACTAATGAGAAAGTTATAAAGTATTATCGATCTACAGATCTAATCCAAGGAACTCAACTTCAGAGAAATAAATTGAGATAACATTTGTCTTGTGCATTACGATTTGGCCTAACTGTGTGCCAGCATCACATAAAAAAAAGGAGTTGAAGATTTTGATTTTGTTTTTTTTTTTCATTAAGAGCAGTAGTGTACATGTACATCTACAAATGAGAATTGCAAAAAAGAAAATGCATAAAAAAACCACTGCAGAAGCATTCAAAAGCATCACCGGCAAATAAACAAATTATAAGAAAACAAATGCTACCAAAAATAGCAAATAAAAAGAAAATCTGAGAATCCAAATTACGCAAGTGCACAAAAATTCACTCTTCTGGAATCCTATCATAGTTACAGAGTAGAAGGCACCTGAAGATAACACATAATGACACACACGCTTACACTTGCAAGAATCCTATCAAGAGCCATAGATTACAGGGCAACTGAGGATTTTTTTAAATTATCTGAACAATGAGTATACTACAATACATAAAGTAGTAAGATGTCAGAAAATCTCCTGTTGAGAAAGGCCCTCTGTATATAGTGTGGAATCCCAATCTGGGTAATTTGCTTTAGGTGTAATTTTAAGGAAATAGTAATGTTTAACCATTTGATGAAACTATGAAGTGTATGATAATGAAATTGATGTTTAAAAAAAATCCAGGGTTCTTATAATTACCATTTTCACAGCTAAGGCGAAATGTCCTTGAGCAAAATAAACATTGCCCAAATTTACCCACACATCTGGCATCTGAACAAAAATGCTCCCTGATGCAACTTCTTGCACCTAAATTATAAAAATAAGTCATGTAAAAGAACTAATGAAATTTTTAACTAAAGAAAAGAGCTGATGCATAACCAAAAGTAACCTCCGAAAATATATCCTTTGAAACATTAAAGTGACATTTTTCAGCCAAGATAGCTTCAGTACCATTGGCAGCATATAGGTTTTCAGGATGCAGCTTCAATACCTACAGATTATGTCAATAACAAATTATGATTAAAACACAGTTTAAAGGATTAAAAAAAGATGAAAAAAACACACAAATGCAGGTGACAAATTTTCAATATTTTGATCCATAAGTGTGCATGTGTCGCATCTTTATCCTTATTTATATTTGTGACCATATACCATTGTAATAGGGGAAATCTGTCCTGCTCCAATCATCATATCCTTTCAAGAACTCATCAGAACCCTAAATTAAGTATGAAAACCATAAAAATGAATAAAACCAATAAAGATAAACAAATGAAACCTGAGGAATTCTTATCGGAGAGGACCACATCTGAACCTCATCATCGCTGGCTTCAAGATCCATCAGCGCGCCGCCGCCGCTTGCCGGAATCACCGTAGGCAGCGGCGCCGATGGCCAACAATAAACAGCAAACCATGTATGAAAATACACCAAATTTTTACTTAAAAATGTAAAAAGAAAGACTTATATGCAGTAACGCAAGAAAAACAAATAAAATCCAACTAAAATCTATAATAATGTGATGGGTAAACTGGAAAACAAATTGAAATGACAAAAGGAGCCTCACTTTCATAAGGGGTTAACTCATGGGATGAATCAAACAAATAGAAACATAATCCAGTAAACAATATATTCCTATGTACAGTTTGCTTGATTTAAATTCCAGCAAAGGATTTGTTCTGCCAATTGTTTGAACAAAGTTATGTCAATTGTCAAATATTGAAGAGAATTGCTTGCAAGAAAAATGTTCTTGAAACTACAGGATTGAATCTTCATAAAATTGTACAGTTCACAAAATGAAAGCTCTAATGTTAAACAAAAAACTTGGTAATTTATATGCATCTCAATGGACACCTATGCAAATGACAGCAACTTCTAAAATGTCTAAAGCGTATTATATTGAAATGTCTGAAATGTATTATATTGAAAGAATATGCAAGTTGAATAAATACATTAGGGAAAATATACATACATAAGTGAAATTATCATGTCGCCCTGGTGTTTTGATATTAGCATACCTGAAATCAAAATTAATCTAAGAGAAGTTGGCAGAGAATAATCTTTAAAAGCAAGTTAAATAAAAAAGAAACTTTGGATCTAAGCGGTATTTGGTTTCTTTATCTTCATCACCATCTTGCTCCAAAGATATCAAAATAAAAAACAAATAAAACCCAACTAAAATTATGGAAATACTACAAACATATCAAAATTATAAATTTTAAGACAGCCTACATCAGGAAGCTAACGAAAAAAAATTCAATTTTACAAAGGACAAACCCCAACTTGAATTCGTAGAATCCCTCAACGGCAAGCAGCCCCTCCGGCCCGCTACCCTTGGCATGAGCATCGATGATGCGTTAGTCGCCGCGAACATCCTCTCGGCTCCGACAAGCGCCACCCGCCGTTGGATCTTGACATGTGGTCTCGGATGGACCGAAGACTCATCGGCAGCCGTCCGATGGCTCTTGGCCGATCTCGAGCCCTCGACCTCCTGTTGTGGCCCCACTGGAGCAGGATGTCGGTGTGAGTTCCGTTGAGTTGGGGTTTGGGGTTTTCCGGCGAGCTGGAAGTGGAGGGGAAGTGGGGGAAGTGGGTTTGGGTTGTCGGGTTTGCGGATCTAGATCCAGATCGGAAGCGGAGGGGGTCGTCGTCTTTGTAGGCCTTGATGTTGGTGGGCTTTCGGAGATCTCGTTGTGTTTGGGGAGTGAGCATAGAGAGGAGGAAGTGGGGATTGAAAGGAAATATTGAAAGAGGAAGAGAGAGAATCGTGGGAATCGTGGAGAACGTGGGAAGGGAAGTTTGATGGGGAGTACAGAAATTTTGAGAACGTGGCGAGTGAAAATGCTTATTAGGATTTCATTGTTGAGAACCTTAGGTTACTGTTCAATTTAGCATTTTTGTTGTTCTACTTTAGTAATAAAGAAGTAGATAAGTTAAACTATGAGTCCTATTATGATTAGGAGTATCATTAACGAAGATAATGAACTCTTTCGTCTTTAAGGAGACCCAATAACGACGGTATTAGGATCAAATCAATGAAGGGATTAGAAAGTCGTTATCCCATCTCACATCATTCCTCTAATATTTGTAATCACTCGACAAAGGCTTTAAAACCCGTCGTTATTATATGCACTTTAATGACGGTCAACTGATCCCTTCACTAATTTAAGTTTTTATAAGTTTATTGCTTTCAGGTTAAAGCTAGAATTTCACATACATAAATGAGCATGTGAGTTCTCATATGAATACAATTTCTTTCGCTAATAAAGAGATCTCGTTCGATAATGCCACAACTACTCAATGCAAAGCATGAGGAGCATGCAAAAATCATGTATCTGTCACAAAAGCGCGAGCAAAGGTTGTGCTAGATAATGGCAACCAGTAAGAATAGTACCTCTGAAAAAGACTTGGCATGACCCGGTGAGGAGGCGGCCAAATTAGCTGAGCAGAATCATAAGGTAAAAAGTAATGCTCGATGCTTAATTACATCCTTCAAGATGCAAATCCCCACATCTCTTCCCTTCATTCTATAATTTCGTTCCATCAGCATCACTAAATCTTCAGTAAATTAAATAGATACAACCACATCTACCACCAGGAAAATCTCAGCCAGAGATGGACATGGACCCATTGTTTCCTATAAACAAAGCAAAATCGCCTGAACTCCTCGACTAAATCCATCTTTGTGACCTTCATCCCACTCATCTCTCTGAAAGTCTAGAACTGACTTCCCTATTTATCGGTGTCCTGCAGTCTCCGCACTTACAGCTAATTGCCCGAAGGTGGTACTACCAGATATCCATAAAAATCTTGCGTTTCTATTTCGGGTCAAGATGCAAGAAGCATTGGCTTTTTACAATTGGTATCCCAAGCTTGAACAAGTCACTTATCATCAACGATAAAAATAGATTCTTGTGACGTACAAGATCATGAAATAGAGCACATCTAGTTGAGGAGGGGAAATTGTTCAATATGGTCCATAATCTATCATTGATTCGGTAGCTAAGAGATGGGCTTGCGGGCTTTATTATTTTGTATTTAATTCATTTAAGACTCTTGGGCTTCTTTTAAATGCTCTTGTAGCTTTTTACAATTTAGTTTGGTCTTCCAATAATTGAATATATATCAATTAAATTCGGGCTTCTATCATAACCCGTTGTTGCTAATGAAATTGTTGGAATCTATCAATCTAGATAGGTCTGTCTCATCGAAATAGGTGATTTTCATATATAATACATTAAATTCCACTTTCCACATTGGGAGATATCGTCTTTTCTTTGCGGTTGACCAACCTGAGCACGAATTTGACCTTGTTTTTTCGAAATTTGATTTGGTTCTCAATTGTAGGCCAAGTTATTAATAATTACTGACTAAAAAAGTGATGAGTACTGAGATTTTGCTTCTAAACTTAGTCGTGAGTTTTGAATTTAGGGATTCTAGGCTTCATTAGAGATCTTTTAGGCTCAAAATAATCTTCTTTTGAGCTCTTTTTCAATCCTATAGTACCTATAAATTAAGAAAAAAAACATTATTAGCAGATATATTTATTCAAATAAAATAGATAATAATGATATAAAGTGCAATAAAATGTAATGATCAGTATGCATTATGTAAGATTTGAGAGACTAATAAACCCTATAATTTTAGGCTCAATCATAGTTGAGGGTTATTGGTTGAGATTGTTGATTCAGACTCAAATTTTTTTTCTTGAATTTTAATTTAGAGTGTTATTTGTTTCGGGCTAAAATTTATATTTAAATTTAAGAAGCTATAGGTTTAAGAATTGGATTCGGCTTTAAATTTAAACTATTATTACTTTAAGACTAGGATTTTATTTTGAATTTAATATATTTCTGGTTTAGGACTAGGATTTAGATTTGATTTAAGGTGTTATTGGTTGTGTAAGATTGTTATTAGGACTAGGATTTTAAAATCCACACTTCATTCTAACTCTATAGTCTTTAATAAGAAATTGTTAAGAGAAAGTTCAAATTAAAAGTGGTAGATTGTGATCTCAGTTTGCGGATTTCTCTCTCCTCTTTTGTTCAATTATTTGAATATTTACTATATTTTAGATTAAATATTAATAATTTTAAGATAATAAAGTATTTATATATTAAACTGAATGTACTTAAATTTAAAATATTTATAATCAAATTATTTTTAATTTAATTTATTTAAAATGGAACATATTTAATACTATTTGATGACTTAATATATCTAATATTTAATATTCATATTAAATTAGATATGTCTAATATTTAACATTTCCTAAGTATATGAATATTTTAAATATTTTAATATTATATTACATTCATTTACTTTTTATTTAAATGTTAGAAAGGAAATATATTAAGTACATAAATATGGAATATATGCAATATTTAAAAATTAGTAACAAAAATATTTAATACAAAATCATTTGAATATTTGAGGTCAAATGTTTGATATAAAATTTTCTAATGTATTTAATATTTACATATTTAAATATACAAATTAGTTTTTTGTATGATCGAATACTTCTTATTTTATTTATGTACTTGAAAGCTAGTGATTTTTATCCACGTGCTTGCACTAGTTATCTTCTATTATGTGATATTATCTACACTGTTTAAATGGACTACAATATGTATTCAGTTTTGTTGTTTCTATCCGTTAATTGAAATGAGGGTAGGATAATTTTCCAAATTAATATTTCCTTTTTATAAATAATTATTATTTAACATAATACTTTATTTTAAAACTCTTAATTCAAAGTAATCCAAGAATCTAAAATTTGACCAGAGAATCCAACCCTCAGTCTACGAATCCAAAGTAAAAATTCAAAAATCCAAGCCAAAGTTAAAGAATTCCACGCAAAAATTCAAAATCCAATCCAAGAGCCATGGGCTCTAACCATAAAATCCGAATTCAAATTCCAATCTAATATATGGACAATTGTCCGAGTCTAATTCAACAATCCAAAACGAATAACACCCCCCTTAGAGGTTCTCCATATTAGTCTCTTAAGAAACATATATATGCATCCATTTTTAAATTTGCCTTCTAATTTGCCGAGCTAATGTCAAAACCGGCTGTATCTAACAGACAATTGATATCTATGGTAAAAAAAAATTTAGAAAAATAGTAATGCGTCATTCCACCATCCTGCAAGCCAATATCATCGTTATACAAACTATGTAACCGGGTGACTAAACGCTCCAAGAAGCTCACTTTACCAACCATTGGAAATTTAAATCTCAACAAATCAAAAGGACAACACAAGCAACAGTTCAGAAACAATCACGTACGTACTTATTGACAGCTTGATGAGTTCATGCTTCAAGTAAAAGTACAACCACCAGGACCACTAATATAAACTGGATAAGATGACAAATAGTTTCCACCCACATGATAACAATCTTGATGATTTTCGAGTATTACTGGTGATGGATCGCTAAATTCGCCGGTTGGTGAAATTACGAACAGATTTTTAAGATAAGCTGCTTTGCCCCCGCCGTCATCAGGAGAATGGCCACTTCCCATCGGAGGAGTCCTGTCGCCGGGATGATAAGAGACGAAGCCGCCAAATTGGACATGAGTAGCAGCCTCTGCTAAATTAGTAAACAGAGATTTTGGCCAATGGCCTACACGTTTGTCTCCCTGGCGCCCAGCGTGCAGCACCCAGTCCCCAGTTGTAGTATCCTTCATGGACCAAACAAGCGAGAACAAATCATAAGATAGCATGTTCTAGTCGTGAGAATTATAAACAGGTATCGTACCTGAATTTTGATTTATTGACTAATGCATGTTGAGGCTGGGTATTAACTAATGCATGGTAGATGCATGTCAAATGGATTTTGATTTATTGAAATAATAGTTCTGAAGGATATTGCAACCGAGAATCAGGACCGTTGTGTTTCCACAAAATCGGGGTAGATATTTGTCACCGGGAGACTGAAAGAAAATGTCAAACCAAGTTGCATAAAGTAGCATTTGAAAGTTCAATTATATTTTAAGAGAGAAATTTGTGAACTTCTCTGTTGAAATTGGTTACCACCAACAAACACCCTAATGTTTACCCATTATACGCATTACTAGTTTGATGACATGTGTCATATAAACGCATATAAATACAAATGCATTTTATTTATCATAATGGACATGCTAAAAAGTATTTTTACAAAATTTAAATAAAATCTCATACTGTGCACCACAATTTAAAACTCACAAAACTGAGAACTTTATCAACTTGTATGCTGATATGGTACTGGGGACGTATGCCGAAGCAAATGGAAGCAAATAATTGTGTGAAGATTATAAATTTAACCATCAGAGGGCACATATGAAGAATGTGTTACTCCATAGAAGGTTATTTAATTTTAAAGAATATTTTCAAAATCACGAATAGGTTTCAAATTTTCATAATGAAACAGTAACACAGTGAAGAATATAAATGCAAGATATGCATCCAAAACATAAGAGCAAGAGACAGGGATCTATCTTCATCAGTCTTCATAAAGTACAAAGGAAGAATAGCACATTAAAATTTGACAGCATAGAGGTGTTCCATAGTATAATATAGAAATAAATCAAAATGTTGAGGTTCCAACATGTGATTTTATTTACTTAGTAAAGCCCACAGGACGAGAAAAAATGGTAAACATTACCTTGAATATTCTTAACGTAATATCATATTGATCTCCATCATAAGTGGATAGTGGTCTAATTTTTGTCCCTAAGACGTATGCTGATGGTTTATAAGGTACAAATCCTTTGCAGAGGAGATTGTAGCATCCGGTACTTTGAAATCCATCCCTCTATTAAAAAAATAACACATTAGAAACCATTTAAACTAAATATTGCATTGCAATTTTATGGTGGATAAATCGAACAATATACCGTCCAATACGCCATTAGATGTGTATCATTGTCGCCATATATTTCTGGAAATACCTGAAATTCTCACAGATTAGAAGGAAGAAAATTTTGCGATAACAAGTTGATATTTACCCAACTTACTTTGTTTCTTTCAGTTTCATAATCATTGTTAATTAAAAAATATATATCCATTACATGGAAGATGCTAATGCTGTTGGAAGCTTATTCATGAAAAGGCAATTTTGCCTTTGTGAATAGTCCCACATCGAAAAATGAGATGAATAGTAAAGGGTATATAATGGTTCTCTCCTTATTGGGCTTTGAATAGTGTTTTGGGTTTTGTGGGCTTTGCGGTTCTACCACACACACGCGCGCACGCCACGCCGCGCCCGCCAAGGAGGCTTGGAGCTCATTCAGAAACACACCAACGAAGACTCTCTTCTCTTCTCTACTCTTATACCTCCAAGAAAAGATTTCGGCTACATATTTACATATTCTATTTTCTGGGCAACTGTTTTCGTCTGAGCATAAGCTCTGTGTCTCACGCCCGAGTGCAGAGGCCGGCCGATTCCGGGGGTTTTTACCGCTAGGGGAGAGAGGACAAACTGCGCCAGGGCGATAGGCGGGTCCTTAATCTTCTATGGCAGTGATATCACGACTGCTCCCAATCAGGCCTGAATTTTCTAACTCTTTAATTTGTTTTATATTATTATTTTCTTTGCCAACATCTGCATTTTATTTTCAGGAAGTTTTGTTTCCAAAAGAGCAAGTAAAGAGATATTATAATCTTGTATAAGTTGCTGCACAATCCTATGCTTAGAGGATTTATTAAACCCTCTAATATTCCAAATTGCAAAATGCATTTATTTGGATGTTCCCCCTTTATCTTCATCAGGGGGATCAGCTTGTAACTCCAGAAGAGAAAATAAAGATGATTGAATGCTTGTAGTATCTTTTCCAGAAAGTATTACTCTTTTTGCTACATTAGATCTACTGACATTTGTAAATCCAGATGTATTTACCTGAGGAGATGAAAATCTGAATACCTGATTTCTAGTCCCCCCATGTTGTGCATGTTTTGTAGTATTCCCAGAGTAACTACCAATATCTTTCATTCCCTGATTTGATATCTCATTTACAAGATTTGCTGATATGTTTCTGCCTCTGAGAGTTTGAGTATCAGTCTGTGCATTAGCAGAACTCTTTTCTCCTCCAGTCTCATTAGTCTGTGCATGTTTTGCTACAGGAGTTGCAGAATCACTCTTAGATTTTTCTCCTCTAGTCTCATTTTGCATTGAGGAATCATTTACTATATCAGGATGCTCTGAGTTGGTCTGAGATCTTTTTCCATCCTGCTTGTTAATAGGCACCCACACTTTTTTAGTTCTGTTTCTCCTGCATTGCTCAGTGTTATGCCCCACCATACTACATATAGTACACCATCTAGGTTTAAACTCATACAGAACTGTCTGTGTATAGCTCCTTCCATCAGGCCCTTGAATAATCAATTGATCTGGCAATGGCTCCTTCAGTGGAAATTTAACTTCCAATAGAACTCTTGCATAGCTCAGCCTCTGTCTGGTAGCTGTAAGCTTATCAGTTGCAATTGGTTTTCCAATTAGACTAGCAACTTTAGCTCAGCCTCTGTCTGGTAGCTGTAAGCTTATCAGTTGCAATTGGTTTTCCAATTAGACTAGCAACTTTGCTAATTCCAGTTGAACTCCATAGATTAAGCCTCAAATTTGGAAGTTGAATCCACATTGGGTAATAGAAATCCTGTAGGTTTTCTAGATCTGTGTCAATACTCCATGGCTTTAACATCAGTGGCCTAGATCCAAAGAACCAGGGTCCAGCCTCTAAGACATCTTGCATCTGTTTCTCATTTTGAAAATTAAACAGGAACAGCCCTTGCTTGATAATGGATATCTTCGGAATTGAAATTTTACCCCAAAATTTGTTTATATAAGATTCCATAGACTTGAATTTAGCATTTAATTCAATAACATGCCCTAGTAAAGCAGACTTCCAAAGAACTTCTCCTTCTGTCCATTCTTCAGTATTGAATGAAACAGTATTAGTTTGAGCAGATGGAAAGAAATTTAGAGAAAGTCCATTGCCAGATTTCCTGTTATCAGCAAAAAGACTAACAAAAGATTTTCGAGATACAGGCTCAGATTTCTCCTTCGATTCCTCATCAATCAGATTCTCATTAGCTGATTTATCCAAATTCTAATCAGCTGATTTATCTAATACCTCTGTTTCCAGATCTATAGATTTATCAGCATTATTTTCTAGATGAGAAGAATCTTCTGCGTTATCAGCATTCAGATTAATAATATCAGAATCAAAATCATCATCGGCATCATCATCAGCCCATAGAGTAGAATTAGAAGAACTTAGCTGTCTAATGGCTTGAATTCCGAGTCTCTGTTGATGAAGATCTGAAATAGGATCAGATCTAGCTAGGATTTCTTCCATTGGCACTTTCCTCTTAGCTCCCTTTGGGCCTGTACTTTCCATTTCTGCTGAAATTGAAGATCTCACCTCCAAAGCATCATCAGCAGCTTGAGAAGGATAAACGAAAATCGAATCTCTAATATCACTAGCACTGGCCATGGATTTCTTGGTCTTAAACAAGCTCCAAAACAATGGCACCAGAAATTTGACAACGTCATTGCACAATATGGCTTCACTGTGAATGAATACGATAAATGTGTCTATTCTAAAGTGATAAACAATGGCTATGTCATTCTCTGTCTCTATGTTGATGATATCCTTATCTTTGGAACAACACTTGAATTAATTTCAAAGGTTAAGGATTATCTTTCCAAAAATTTTGATATGAAAGACTTAGGTCTTGCAGACATGATACTTGGAATGAAAATCTCTAGAGACACTAGAGGAATATCTTTGAGTCTTTCCCATAGCATTGATAAAATGCTAATCAAATTCAACTTTCATAACTCTAAACCTGTTTCCACACCTTATGATTCTTCTATACCTTTGAAGAAGAATGAAGGTGAACTTGTCTCCCAACTAAAATATTCTCAGATGATTGGATCTCTTCTTTACATATCCAACCGAACCAGACCTGATATAGCTTATGCTGTAGGGAGACTGAGTCGGTATACTAGCAACCCTAGCAAAGATCATTGGTCTGCCTTAGAAAGAGTATTCAAATATCTAAAAGGCACAATTGACTATTGCTTGACTTACACTGGTTACCCTAATGCTATAGAAGGGTATAGTGACGCCAATTGGGTCACGGATTCCAACAGTGTAAAGTCTACATCTGGATATATATTTCTTTTTGGTGGTGCTGCTGTATCCTGGAAATCATGTAAGCAAACAATAATTGCCAGGAGCACCATGGAATCTGAGCTAATTGCTCTTGATACTACTTGCACAGAAGCCGAATGGTTAAAAGATCTTCTATCTGAACTTCCTTTGGTCCCTAAACCCTCTCCTCCTATTTCCATTCACTCTGATTCTAGATCTACCATAGAGCTTCTAAAGCAAGTACATGTAAATAAAAAACATAACAGACATATTCAAATAAGATATAAGTCTGTACAACGCCTATTAGGCAAAGTTGTGATCTTGGACTTTGTAAAGTCTGAGAAAAATCTTGCTGACCCTTTGACTAAGGGATTATCCAGGAGTGTGGTTCTGGATTCATCGAGGGAGATGGGGTTAAGCCCATAAATGAGGTCACTGACAGCGGCAACCCAACCCTTATTTGGAGACGTAGTCCCAATGTCGGTTCAATGTGGTAGAAACAAGCTGGACAAGTGACTCTCGTGTGGAGCATCGACCTAGATATATTTATATATCATTATGTAGCATTTGCTACTACCCCTTCTCTATGATGACGATGCTCTTATGATACAGCTGGCTAGGCTGAGTTTTACTCTTAATAAGTCCAACGCGTGTATTGTGGGGGGTATTAAATAAACAGCTGTAGTACCCTTTGAGGACTTACCTACGTGAGAGGAACCGTGATGGCCGCGGTTAGGGGGAGCTGGGCTAAACCCTAGAAACTCTCATGAGTCGGTTTATTGTGAGCATGGCCTTTAACGCTCAACCCGCTTTGCTCAATAGATGAAGCGTATTGTGTGTGTTTTCATCAATACCTGATTAAAGGGGCCTAATTCAAGGCCTAGTCCATTATGTCCCTCAGGTGGCGATGAACCCACTAAGGAAAGGTTCAAAGCCGAGAGCTACCTCTCCCGAATTCACGATACGAAAGGTTGCCCAACCTATATTTATTTTGTGATTTATTTATTGATTTATTATTTTCAGTCAATATTGCCTTTTGGGGGGGGACTGTTAGATATTTTGTTAAGAAAAGACAATTTTGCCTTCATGAATAATAATAAATTTTTGTAATTAAAACATGTTTTAATTAGCAATTAAAAATATGTGTAACGGCTATATAATTATGGGGAACGTTACAAAATTTATGACGAACGTTACAGAATTAATTACGGGTTTTGTAACATCTTTTCCAACCCTATATATATGGCAACTGTTTTCGTCTGAGCATAAGCTCTGTGTCTCACGCCCGAGTGCAGAGGCCGGCCGATTCCGGGGGTTTTTACCGCTAGGGGAGAGAGGACAAACTGCGCCAGGGCGATAGGCGGGTCCTTAATCTTCTAGGGCAGTGATATCACGACTGCTCCCAATCAGGCCTGAATTTTCTAACTCTTTAATTTGTTTTATATTATTATTGTTTTGACAGCAAATGCTAACACTAAACAGACAATGAGAAAATAAATAAAACTCGGTTCAACTATTAATGTTATGTGAAGAATGACACATCCTAAGCAGATTATGCCATGTAAAAGGCAAAAAAGCAATTAAACTGATACTTCAGTTTGCTGGAAGGCTCTACTTTGGGCACATGTTTTATGGTGAAAAAAAAAACTTTGAGAATAGAAAGATAGTAAATCAATAATAAAGTTAGAAAGAACTAATTAGTTTCTTCTAATAAGGTTAACATTTCTTTAAGCAGCTCCATATTTAAGAATTATAAAATAAATAATATAGTTTTTACGAAATTATGGTATTCTTTTTTCAACAATTGAAATGTCTTATTAATAAGAACGTAATAAAAGAATATCCAACATAAGGTTCCACATCAAAATACCATAATACAAGTACATAAATCAAAATAAAACACCATTAGAAAGAGCCAATACTTACATGCCATCCAGCGCCTATAACATTTTTTGTATTAGGAGGGCCACCGTCCCCGCTGTAAAGCAAAACTCGAAATGAGCTTGATTGATTAGCACCGACATCAGGCAAGCTCCAAACATTTAGAGTGGCTTGAGCACCATGAAATTGGTCCGGTTTTAGACTTAGAATTGCATACTGAATGTAGGGAGAATTCAATAGTAATCAAGTATATTCATTTCTAAGAAGAAAGTAGTAAACTTTCTATACGAACCAGGAGATAATAAGTTAAACTACTATTTGAAGCAGCCATAAAATCTTCATCCTATTTGTTCTCGTAAAAATGCAATATTGCTTATTTGAAGAAAATAATATAACAATTAAAAAAGAACATTTCAAAAAGAAAATAATTATAACTCCGCCCAATCTATCTCTTGATCTTAATTTTTAAAAAAATAGTCTATATTAATTGACGTGCACCTTAAAGAATTTTGCCAGTTTAACTACTCCTATTCTTTTGTTATATAAAGTATAAAAACTACTCAGGTTAACCAATAATACTTGGGATATAAAATGGAGTAGAAAAGAAAGAATATAAGTATTCATCTCTTGAATGTTCGAGTTCAACATGATTATATAAAATTTCCGTCTAGGTTGCTCATTTTTCTACTAGTCGAAGTCTTTTTAGGTTTCACGTGTTTAAAACAGTGAATTGTCTTTTTTTCCTTTAAGATTAAAATTGTTACATCAGCTATTATAAATATCAAAAATAAAAGCGAATGTGAAGAGGGGGCAGAAATACGTTATTCTGAATGGTGCATGTTTGTTTAATACGCTCTTAAGAACACTGCGTGTTGATTTTGCATGAGATTGTATTTAATTAAATATCAAACTTTAAAGAGCTACCCAATAGACTTCATTCAAAGTGAAAATATGTTATACTTCTTAAGTTTTTATTTCATGTGCACTAATTACACTCCCCAACCTTCGTAAAAACTCTGCTCGGATCTTTTCCCTTTGCAATGACTATGAATGAATTTTGGTTACAGATCAAATAAGTCAAAAGAAGAACTAAATTCATGGGGAATCTTGAAAAGATGTCCTCCCTCAAATCCAACCATAATAGTATGAAATAGTGGGGTATTTTTCTTCCTTTTCTTACTTTGCGATCGTGGAGAAATGTTTCAAACTTAGACTCTACCATATAACTTAGCAAACAAATAGCTACTTGTCGTTTCATCGATTG